TGTATTGTAAACAGTACTACTCTGTTAAAGTGCCCCTAGTGAAAAGCTGCTGATAACAGTTCTTGTAGTTCAGTGTTCAGCTCACCCTGCATTCCTACAAGAAATAAATCCATCTCTGTGCACCAAGTAAGCGTTCAGGTTAACACTGGTTTCATCTCGAAGTGACCACTCCAATACAGAAGCTGTAGTTGTGCTCAATGGCAGAAGCCTCCAGCTGCTTCCTTGAGGTGCTGGTCAGCAGCAGCTGCTGCCTCACGTGGTGCCTCCCTGGGCTGTAGGTGAGGAACAGACAGAGGCAGTTTAGCTTGTCTTCCTTGTAGCCTTACTTCTGCTGTTTGCATAAAGCACCTGTGGCAAGAATTGCTAATTCTTAAAACAGCTTGCCTAAGAAATAACCCTTTGTGGTCAAATGCTTCAATGGTGAACTAAATGCCTCTGGCTTCTGCTCCGGAATCGTGCCAGTTGGCTGCTGGCATGAGTAGTTTGCCCAAAGCTGATGCTGCTGTGGCAGTATGGCTCTGTGCAAAAGGGCTGGCTGTGTGCTCAGAGCATGATGGTGTTGTGGCAGATGTTGATGTTAGTGGCCTTGTTCATTAGGAATCCATACAACTTGCCTCCTCTGGCTGAAATTCCCTGTAGTGCTGGCTCAGGCTTTGTCCCAGTACCTGATGTGTGTGGCAGTGCAAGAAAACACCTGTGTGCATCTGCTGGCACAAGCTGTCGAGAGGGACCTTCTGCACAAGGGTGCTGTGGGTACAGAGCAGCTGCTGCGTGGCTTTTCCTCTTCAGCTGAGCCTGCTGTGTCTCCTGTGTCAGCAGGCAGCCGTGTAACACCAACACCTGGGATGCAGGCACTGCGCTGTTTCCATTGCTCAACTTGATGTTAATCATGAACTGGCCTGGTGCTGCATAATCACTTCTTTCCCAGGTCGTGGCCTGATCAGGGAGAGCTGCTCTCGGCTGAAGTGATGAAATGGGGGCACAGTGGGGGAGGAGGAACCAGCAGCAGTGATGGGCTCATGTGGCAGGAAGTGCTCTGTCTGGCTCACGGCTGCAGCCTTACTATCGAAGGCTACTGGAAATTATGCTGAAATGCTTGAACATCAAAGTACGAGAAAACTTCAGTTCTAAGGAATAATTAATTGACACTTTGATAGGATTATAATTTCCAGTGGCCTATTTTGAACAGCCAGACTGGCAATTACTTTATTTATAAAGCTATAAACATATTTTGAACATAAAAGCCAAAAAATACAAACTTGGTGAAGTAAAAAAAATTACAACAAATGATGGATAATCATTGGACAAATGAAAGTACAGCTGCAAAACATTTATCCCTGCTACATACATACAGTGGTTGTACTTGGTTTAATGAAGTGGTGTTTCCATGACTTCTACATTCAAACTGGTTTCAGGAAATCAAATGCGTATTTCAAGAGAAGTTGAAATTGCTGTAAAAACTGAAAAAAAAAATCTTCTTGGGATTAAAAACTTCAGGGCGATGTTTTCCTTCTGTTAAAAAAGCACATTGACACGAAATAACAACACTTCATATGGCATTTTGAAGATTTCTTTTGGCGTTAATAAAAGTAACTCTGTTTTGGCATTGGTAACCATAGGGCAGCCATCAGTTCAGCTCGCTGCTCTGTCCCAGCAGTGGGCAGCTCTGAGCTCTCCTGCGTGTTTTGGGGAAAGGAAGGCATTTCCTCAGTTGTGCCACATAAGCATTCAGGTAACAGCAAAGGCAAAACCATGCCGTGTTGGTGTGAGAGCTGGTGAGGAGCTTTGGTCAGGTGTGTGCTGTGTGCTGTGTGCTGTGCTGTGTGCTGTGTGCTGTGTGCTGTGTGCTGTGTGCTGTGTGCTGTGCTGTGTGCTGTGTGCTTTGTGCTGTGTGCTGTGTGCTTTGTGCTGTGTGCTGTGTGCTTTGTGCTGTGCTGTGTGCTGTGTGCTGTGCTTTGTGCTGTGTGCTGCACGAGGGAAGGCTCTGCAGGAGGGAAGGCAGGTTTCACCAAGACTGCAGGACCGGATGGAATGGCGTTGCTGAGAGGAGGCTGTGACACAGGTGGGCCTTTTCCTGTCAGCGTGCCCTGAGCGAGGCGCGGGCACCACGGGGGGCTGTGAGCAGCCTTGAAATAGAGGAAGGAAGTCCTAACGAGCCTGAAATGAATGAGGGCTGCTTAGTGCTACTCGGTCCTTGGTCACAACACGCAGTTTAATGCTGGTCAGGACTTTCCCTTAGATTTCCTCTGGTGTTACTTAGAGGCGCCTGGTTTTTCTTTATACCCATCTTTGCTGCTAAGCTACATTTCATCCAACCACGAACACCAACCAGGTATTACGTTGTGCCAGCTTTACACCCAGTTCTGCCCACTGCTGGGCGCAGCGCGGCCCTTTTGTCAGCTGAGGCTGTTGTCACTTGGCCTTACAGCAGAGGGTGATCAGATCAGTGAAGGACGGCGAGCTGAGACAAAGCTTTTTTTAAGGTTTATATTTATAATGGCTGGTCAGAAGAGTCTGTGCCAGGTCTGGGAATGGCTGGCTGAGTTGCTGTGCTTGCTGAAATAACTTAAAGACGAGCGGATGGTGTGTGAGCAAGGGCTGCATCGCGAACCCTGAGTGCAGCGTGTGCAGCTGGCGGGCGCTGCAGGTGATGCTGCTTCTCCAAGGGTCAGCACAGCTCTGTGCACGTCGCTTCCAGTCAGTGCTTCTCAAGTTACATTTACACAAGAGGAATAAAGCAGTAAGTTTGGGTCTTCTAAACTAAAACGAGTCAAAGGCCTACACTACTATAAGCAAAAGTACCTAAATTAGGAGAATAAACCCAGAGATGCTCTATAGACTAATCAGTGGTCTTTTTTTTTTTTTTTTTTTTTTTAATTTTCAATCTTTGATGCATAAACTTGTTTTAAAAAGTTGAGTCCAATGTAAAAAAATCCAGGTTTTTGCTTTAAGAAAAAAAAATATAAAAATATTTTTTTACATTATAAAGGTCATCTTAAATTTCTTGCAGTTCTACAATAATATGACTACATAATTTGTAGTCAGTACTCTAAAACCTATTCTGTAAAGTAGAAAAAAATAGACCCCTCTCCCCCTCAGCCTGGTGTTCTTTTTCTCTTCAGCAGTCTAAAATACATTTCTTTCAAGCAGGAAAAAATATGCACCGGACCGGGCTCTGGTCTGTGTGCCAAGTGTGTAAACATAGAGAAAATCAATGCATTTGGTTCAGTTGGGATTTACGTCAGCTTATGGAGATCAGAATCTGTCCACAAATCACAAGATACCAGAACCTGGTAAACGTTCTCAGGCTGGAGGGATTGCCTGCACGTTTGGCCTCGTTGCGAGGGCTGAGGGAGATCTGTTAGAAAAAGCTCAGGTGAGTTCTTTAAAAAGTTAGACACCAAATCAGTAAGGAACGTTTTTGATGTTGCAGAGGTGAGCAGAGCCTGTGAGCAGGGGGCAGGCAGGGCGCTGCTGCTCCGGGCTGCACAGCAGAGCGCGGGGCTCAGCTCCTTCCTGCAGCCCGGCCTCAGCCTGGCTCCTGAGATGGAGCACTGCGCTCCTGAGTGCCTCAGTCAGGCTGTGTGGTTGCCCTATGTGCTCCTCATGTGTGCTGAGTTAAGGGGAGGCTTTTTGAGGCTCTCCCAGCCCACTGCAGGGCAATTCCTGCTGTCTGAATCTGCAGCACCCAAAGCAAAACAGAAGGGAGACCCTGCGCCGGGCTGACGTGGGGAGCAATGCTCTGCCCTGCCATACACTGATGGGATTCAACGTGTCTGCACAGAGACTATTACCTGTAAACAGTGCCTTCCTGTTCTCAAACAAGAAGTTTAAAAAATACATCTCATTAGTTTAAATATTTCCCTATCATCCAGTCGGATCAGAAAGCTAGCATCGCTACATTTCATTTTCAGACACAAGGGCTTTTACAAAAGGCTCCTATTCCAGCTTTTCCAGCTCTGTGGTATAACAGCTACAGGAGGACTACAGTCTAAAGCAGCTCAGAAGGCAGGACACGGAAGCCAGTGTCAGATTTAGAGCACCTACCACCTACTGCAGCAAGCTGGGGATCTCTCTTTGCTTTCTGCCACACTCAGATAACGCAGTAAAAAAAGAAAAGCCCCCAACAAACAAGAAAGCAGCACAGGGCAGGGACAAAAGGCTTATTTACTCATCAGACTTCAAATTTTGGCAAGTTTTGTTGTGTGTTTTTTTTTTTTCCTTAACCTTTTTAAAAATCACTTTGCTATCTTTAACCACCACCCTCCCCCCAAAGGGTCAAATGTTTTCCAGCATCCTCCAATCGTTCTGTTGCCTAACTGCGGGGGAATTGGGCCGGGCCTCTGGTCCTTTTCAGCGGGAGAGCAAAGTGCCCACAGTGTCTCAGCAAACACGGGTGGGGGTGGGACTACGTCCCCGTGGAAGCCACGCTGCAGGCTGAGGGCTCTGCGGGCGCGGGAGAGCACCTGGTGCTGGGTCTGGAGGAGCAGGCAGCAGCTGTGATGGGAGCAGAGACCGGGAGGGGGTCGGTGCGTTCTCTGTGTGTGGAGTCTGCGGGGGCTGCAAGCTTGTCTGAAGGGAAAGCAGAGGATATGCATTGGAGTGCATCCAGGGGGGAGGGAGGGGAGTCTATAGCACTTCCATCGGAAGAAACTGGGCTGGCACAGCGTCCTTCTCCTTGTAAGTACCGAATGCACTTCTTTTTCCTCCTATGAACAGTGAAGAGAGTTATCTGTAAATGAAGGGTGAGTTTACGGTCACACACAAAACGCCGAGCAGAGCGCGGGGGGGCGGGGAGCGGAACGGCGCGGAGCCGCAGCGCGGAGATCGGCCGCCTGTGGGTGCGAACCGGCGGCGCCCGCGAGGGGGCGCCATAACGGCGGCGGCAGCAGCGCTCCGGCCGCGCCGCCATCCCGCCGTTGGCTGCGCCGGCTGCCGCGTTGCGGGACGCGGCCGTGGAGCGGTGCCCGGTCAGGCCGTGCCGCCACGCTGCGCTCCGCATCGTCTGTTAGTTGTCTTCCTAAGGAGAAGCCCGAACTCTTCTGAGCGTTTCTACCTGCAGCACATTTCCTACCCCGGCCCTCTGCTCGGCTGCTTTTCTTTGCGGCAAAAAGCCTCTGACCTCCACCCATCCAGAAAGCCATCCATGGCTTCTGTGGGCTGACGTGCTTGCTGTGATCTGCCCCTTCAGAAGCTGAGACACAAGCACAAAATGCCACCCGCACACGTGGGAGAGGAAGCCCTGGCACAGCCCTGCAGCAGGGTTCTGCTGCCCGGGGTTTCCTGCAGAAGCGCCCAGCCGGGGGCAGTGACTCCCAGCGCCCCTCACATCAGGTGCTCTGCATCCTCTGCAGCGGCTCAGGGAAATTCCAAAGCACAGAGCTCTGAGGATGTCACCTAGCAGTGGTGAGGGAGCAATCCCCTGCTCGTGATAACAACAGCACAGCTACAACAGGCAAAAAACCCCTTCCTTCTGCTCAGCTCCCTGCCTCGGCTGCCTCAGCTGAGGAAAACGGATCAAATGGAGAGCTGGCTGATCAGGCACACACCTCTCTTTGATCTCACTAATGAAAAACTACACACTGATGGAATATGCATTAAGTAGCCCAGTATTAAACACGACTTTGCACTGGCTGCGAACAAGAGAAATGGCATTACTGCTGTCAGTGGCATCGTTAGCTGGGGTGACCCAATTAACACGGTATGAAACACGACAGCGCTGCTGAAAGGCACACAGAATGCTTCATGGGCTGCAGCTCCCAGAGCAGCCAAGCCCCAGGATGAGCCGGGCTTCCTACAGGCAATTCAGGAGCAGCTGCAGGACGGAGGGTCTCCATGACATCCTTGTAGGATGACAGAAACCTATCAGTTGATTCATCGATTCGTTGATTCAATTTGATTTAAAATGATGGAGAAGCAGCAGATTTGATACTACAGCCTGCATGGCTCCTATACAGCTAAAAGGATGTATCCCTGTCCTTTAGGAACTACAGCACCTTGCTGTAGTTGTCCTGGTGAAAGGGTGAAACCTCCAACCTGCAACACCCATTTTTCACCAGTTACTGTTGTCCTGTGGAGTGGGAACCTCAGGTGGGAGCTGCTCTCTACAGGTGTTTGCGACCACTGCAGGGAGGACAGAAGCCCTTGAACTGGCAGCAGCCCGTTAGTACAAGCAATTGGAGAAAAGATGTGACTGAGTAGCATTTGAAAGGCAAAAGTTAAATAAAAAAGCATGCTAAGGTCTACAAACTCAGCAGGCTGTGTTAACTGGAAGCAATGCAGAGGGTTAGCGCCAAAGCTGAATGAGGGGAGTTCAAATGAAGTCACAGAACTGGAATTGTCTGGGTTGGAAGGGACTTTTAAGGCTATCCGGTCCCCTCCCCACAATAAGCAGGGAAACCCACAGCTCTGTCAATGCTCAGAGAACCTCAGCCTGACCTGGGCTTGTTTGCAGGGACGGGAAACCTAAGGATTCCTAAGCTAAACCTCCTTGCTCATACGTGGGGCTTTGTGATCTGCTGGGTTTGGGAGGCACAGTCCTCACTCAGCCCACATCAGCCATGAGGGACCCAGTGACCCCACACTGCTGGGGATTTGCTCCAGGATTCCGATTTGGGTGGACTGAATGATTTCCCCTGCTTCAAGCTGCAATAAGCACACTGATTCTGGGGTCATGCCCTAGAAACCCAAGGTGTGGAACGTTTACAAACCAGCTCCTTGCTTGGGGTTTTCCCACTCCATGCTGGGTGCTGCAAACCAACAAGTTGCATCTCAACATACATGGTTACCTCTAGGATAAATAGGAAAAACCTCAGGAAAATTAGCAAGGACCTTCACTACTCACAACTAGCCCTCAAGGGGTGTTTGTAAATGGGTGGAAAGCCCCACACCACGGTCACAGAGGCAGACCTGCAAAGAAGCTTTTGACACCAGAGATGCTCATCAGCATCACACGGACATTGCCCACGGCAGCTCAGGGACAACAGCCACCAGGGTGCTCAGACAGGGCCCTGCAGGAGCATCCCTGGTGTGCGGAGGAGCAGAAAGCAGGGCCAGACCCGCAGCCCAGGAGAACCCCGCGAGGTGGAGATGTGATACACACCTGCACGGGCCGCACCAGTCCGTTTGTTGGTTGAGGCCAAAGCGAGCTCTGCATTTCTTAGGAGAGGCAGGATCTGAACACAGAAGCATGCGTGGCGGAGAATGGGCAAGGCAGAGGCACAAAGAGGAGGAGGAGCAGGAGGAAGAAAAGAGGCAACATCATTTCAGCCGCTTAACACACCACTAACAGACTACAATCCCAAGTTTTGTTTCTGCAACAGAATGGTGGTGGCACCATTTCTCCTGTAAAAAAAGTGATCGTTAGGGAAATAAATACATAAATGAATGAAATCAGTGATCGCAGCAGGGAAAGGGGGTTGAGAAGCAGCACCCGGCTCGGCTGCAGGACGCTACCAGGAAATTCACATCTTTTTGTGACACCTCCACATTCCTAAAGGCTGGGAAAGCTGCCAGGCGACAGAGCTGTTGCCTGCTCCTTACCTGCTCCCAGCAATGCCTATCCGGGTGCCAGCGAATGGGGCTGTGGGCAGCAGAGAGGAGAGGAAACGTTGCAGAAGCGCAGGAAAGCGGAGGTGGCACTGCAGAGATGAGCCCCGGCTGCACAGCTGTGCCCTGCAGCCCTGCCTTCAGGCACACGCTGCTTTTCCAGCCCTATTGCAGCACTGCAGAAGGGCACCTTCCCGCCTGCACCAGCAGCAGTGCGTGCTGTGGGGCATCAGCAGCAGCATTCCCATCCACAGAGGGTGAAATCAGGATTTTTCTATCACACACGGGCTGTATGTTTATATGATAGATACACACTGCATGTACACTGAAATGCTTGCATTCTCAACATCCTAGGCACTGAATGCGATCTACAGCACTAACTAAACTGAAGCCATTACTGGGACACATTTTTGGAACTGCTTTTTATGGGCAGCTCAAAGAGGGCATCACACAGCCACTACTGGAGCTGTGTGAGCTGAGCTGTGTCATCCCAGCAATCCCAGCAGCACAGGCAGGGCTGGTCCCAGCTCACAGCCAGCAAAGGGACAGCCCAGGGCAGGCTGCAGGGGGCACCCACCTGGATGCTCTGCATAATTAGCAGTAATATATACATGCAGATAAGCACTTGACAATATCTCATATTTTCAGTTTCCATGAACTACTAGTATTCTAATGCAAGCTGATCTATGAAAAACTCACAGAAATGCTAATTTTCTGTCTCATGAAATGCACAGATCATTGGTTAAGAATAAAAGGAAATATGGCAAAGAGTGGTAAAACAACAACTGTGTGGGATCATCCATTCTGCACCAAAGTGTCCAGCACCGAGGGCTGCATGGCTCAGCACCGCAGGATTTACCTGAGTTGGAGTCCTGCTGCTTCTCCCGTGTCCGCCTCTTCTTTTTCCCCTAGGAAGGCCAAGGAAAAGCCCATCAGTTTGTGCTCCCAGTGCTGGGGGACGGAGGGGGCCTTGAGCAGAGCTGGTCTGAGCTCTGGGAAATGCACCCGGGGGAGTCTTGAAGCCACCGCCAGGGTGAGTGTCCCCACATCCAGCACTGCAGGCAGTAGGGCTCACATGCATACATCTGCAGGAACTCAGAGATGGAGCCACATCACTGCCTTCTCAGCTTTCCTCCCCCAGCTGAGCCCCCCATTTACCCTGCAGCCTGCCTACTGAATGCAGTTACACCACAGCTCCTCCTTGCAGGACGTTGGTTTGAACATCACCCAGCTCTCCTGCTCCATTCGAAGCACTGCAGGAGGTCACATCTGCACAACGCAGAACTGTGATCCCTGCTGTCATCAGAGGTCCTCATCAGGAGAGCACCCCGACCTCACGTGGGGAAGCTTCATAAATCCCTGGGCACTTTTAAAAAATACCCACGCCTCCACTGCCATTTTTTTTATAATACCCATCTCCCCACCTCAGCCCTTCTGCAGCTGTGGATTCATTTCTTGTTCTCACATTTTCTTCACTCCCTAACAGCAAAACAGTGCTAGCCCCGGATTTCCTCCCTGAGATTGTCGGGGCACAGAGGGGCTGGAGCAAATCTGGCCAGCGTGGGGAGCGTGGCTCACAGGGCTCACAGGCCCTCTGTCTTTTTGTATGACTTCTTGTGGTTTGAGTGAAGGTGGAAAGCTCTGCACTGCGGTGAGCTCTTTCTTCGGCGTGGGAGCAACTGCATTTCCTGCCTAATAACCGAGTCACGTGCGGCGGAGGTGACCTACATTCCTCCTCCTCCTCCTCGCCGGGGCTCCAGAGAGAACAGCAGCTCCTACAGCGACCACGGCCTGGAGCAGCTGCTCATGAATGCTGGAGGGAGAGCTGCTGTGCTCTGAGCCTGGTGTGTGCTGGCCGGGAGAGGAGACCTCCTGGTGCTTGCCAAGAGGAGAGAAGCAGGAGGGATGGGATTTCCATGGAGGACGTACTTGGCTTGAAGGACAATGATGCCCGGCTCTCAGCTCTGCTGCTGCCCCCCAGGGATACCCACAGAAGAGCATTCTTGGGTGCTGCCCCAGATTCTCCACGGCCAACCCAGGTCTCAGCCAATACTGACCCTGCAAAGCTGCACGTGGAAGCCGAGCTCCCAGCAATTTACTTATTGCTAGTTATTACGCAAGGACATTATTGATTATGATTTCTGGCTATTTGAGGATGTTTTGTGGGATTTTGGGCTTTCTGAACAGTGCTTGAAGGAGAGCTCCAAGCACAGCTCCAAGACAAAGAATGTGGCTGCGAGGGAACCACTGGAACCCTGCACGGAGCAGCAGAGCCCAGCGGCAGGTGGATATTTGACAGCCCTCTGCACCCTGCCTCAGGTCTCCAACGAGCTTGTTAGGCAGGGCTTGTTGCATGTGAGATCAAAACAGTTAGAAAGCCACTAGAAAAGGCTGCATCCCATGCTTCTGCAGCACTGGAAGCTCGCTTATTGCCTTGTTATTCTACCATTAACATAGCAAAGAGGAAATCTCTTGAAGCAGACTTCTCAGCACTGCACTGGGGAGCCCAGCCCTGCTTCTCTAGGTGGGACATGGCACAGAGAAAGGGCAGAGCATGCACCTCGATCTGCTGTCCCTCTCTACCTATGCAGGAGCTTTCCTTTTTCTCCCCTTTTGAACGTGGATTTCTCATTTTCTTAACAGCACCCTTACTTGGGAATCAGCCTCTCTGAGGAGCTGGGGCCAGCTCGCAAACCGGCGGAGCAAGCAGTGCTGCTGTCTGCATTTGCTACAGCTGCATTTGAATACTTTGAACGTGGTGTGCTTGGTTTGCTCAGTCGTGGTGGCCCCATGGGTCCAATGTCCCAGCAGGGCAGGCGGTGGCTCGGTGACCGTCACCCTGCAGGACAGCACAGGGACCCCAGTGCCAGGGATGCAGCCCTATGAGAGGTCCCAGAGTTGGACCGAGTCCCCGCCAGGCTGAGCTCAGCACTCGTCTCATGCAAAGCAGCTTCTTTTCTCCTATTTAGCATTTTTAAATCTTATTTTCCATGATTATTATGCTCCTGTCAACAGACGGAGTTTTCCAAACATCACTCACATCACCTAGAAGTTCTCTTTTTTTTCTGCTTCTGTTTCCTTGGGCACTAAGCAACAGTGGCAGCTGCAGTTACGACATTCATGCCACAGACGTGCCACGAGGAGCAGCCAAAGGGATGTTCAAACCAATGCCAAAACACGTATTTCTATACAAACCATCCCCTCCAAAACAGCATTACCAGGGACAACCAGCACCCACTTCTTCCCCCCGTGGGTCATTTCTGGGCTATTTTTGGGTCACATCTATGGGACTCGAGGCGCAGCATCACTCACGTAGTTGTCCCGCGCGGACCAGCCGGGGTAGAGCTGCATGTGGAGCTGCCGTTCCTTGCGTGCCAGCTCGTAGTACTTGGCCTGCTCCTCCCGGGACAGCGCGTGCCACTGTGGGGACAAGCACAGCACTGAGCCTGCCCTGCCATGGGGACACTGCCCTGCAGGCTGTGAGGGGAGAGCATCCCAGGGCAGGTGTGGGGATGGGGATGCTGTACTGGAGCTGCTACAGGTCTTGTAGGGCACCTTGCAGCCACTGTGTTGCTGTTGTAGTACAAGATTTCCCTTTTCTCCCACTTTTGGGGCTCCCTACCAGCTGCTCACAGCCCGAGGACATGCAATGCCTCCAACACCCCCAAAATCCTGGTCTCCATCAGGGTGATGAGAGAAACTCTTCCCAGCTCCCCTCACGTCCGAAGATGTCTGCATGTCCCCCCAATCCCCAAAACCCCTGGGGACTCCACCTGCCCTTACCCTCCTTCCCAGGATCTGGTTGATGGCCGCGCTCTCCTTCAGCGTGCATTCAGCGATGACCTTCGCCCGCATCTCTTTCATATACAACATGAAAGCATTCAGGGGCTTCTTGATAGTGGGCTTCTTGGCTTCCTTCTCTCTCTTTGGTTCTGGCTGAGGTTTCCTTGGCAGGGACAAAAGGAGCAGTCAGTGTCAGAACCACTCGGTGTCACTGAGTGATTCATGGGCATCACCCAGTGAGACTCCACAGCGATAGCACAGATCAGGAGCCCTGAGCAGAACTCACATGTTGCGGTCGTAGTGCTCCATCTCCTGCTTGCCAGAGTGGGGCACGATGGCGGGGTGTGGGATGCCAGTGGTGTGCATGCTGGAGCCCAGCATCAGCGGGTGAGTGAACCTGCAATGGAGAGGGGGTGAGCTGCGCTCACGGGGCAGCGGGGCGCTGGGGGGGCCGTCCCTTGGTGGCTCTCTGGAGCGGCGGAAGCAGACGGCAAGCAGAGGGCACAGAAAGCAGAACAAGGGCAGAACGGACCCAGGGGGGCTGCGCAGGATGGGAGTGGGGCTTTGGCATCAGTTTGCTGTTCCCAGCAATGCTGCCGTGCCGCTCCCCGGTGCCCTGCCAGCAGGGCCCAGATCAAGGGTGCTTTCAACCTGTGTTTCAGACACTCAGATCTCTGTTGCTGCAATATCTTATTAGTGCTGTAGGAAGAAACAACAAACTCAACCCAACGTTTGGATTTGAGAGATTAGGACCACCCCACAGAAAAAGCATAAGTCTGAACATGAACTAACTGCAACTCTAGGAGGTGCACCTTGCCCGAGCAATGCTCTCCACCAACACAGGATGAGATCATCAGAGGTCTCGATGCCTTTCAGGCCTCATTAGCTCCCTCAAGCTGCTGATGGTAAAGCCAGAGCCGCCGGCTCTGCCAGGCCTGCCACGCTCTGACTGCAGCTCAAGAGGGCAGAATCGCCCATGGGAGGTGAACTGCTCGTTAGATATGCTGGCACAGAAAGAAAAGCTGTTTAATTTAATCCACTAGCACAGTCTGATCCTTATCTGGCCAGGTGTACTGCCTGTCTGCAGCAGCGCTGCAAAACCCAGCCCCGTGTGAGTGGGAACCCCTGTGCCACACCTGGGGGCTGCAGGGCCCCAAAGGGAACCGTGAGCACATCCCTACCCTGAGCCTTTGGGGCTGCAAAAACCAGCGCCCCAAGAGCGAGGTGGGCTGGCAGCACCCTCCTGCCCCTGCTGCACAGATAGAGGTTTGTGTGGATAGACGGCTTGCATAGTTTTTCTGTGGGAATCCTTTGCTGACTTCAGGACAACATGAAGCAGAAGCAAAGCTGGTGCGGGAGCAGCCGGAGCAGGGGCACGCCATCGCCCTGCCCATCAGCAAACCCCAAGGTACCAGGCTCTGAGATCCCCAGTTATGAGATGCATTTTGCTCCCTGGGACATCAGTGGGGCTGGGGTACATGTAACCACAAAGCAGACAAACTATGGAGAACAGAGCAGCAGAGATGCAGACGGTGCAGGATTGCGCTCGCTCCTCGGAGCTGGCGATGCTGCAGGAGCACAAAGCAGCCCCAACCCTGTGTGGGACTGGAGTGGGAACAGGGCAGCACGGGGCAGGCATGGGCTGCGTATCAGCTGCAGACTTCAGACTTGTTTAGATGCGATGCCAGCAGCTGCCTGCTGCCTGTCCTGCTTCTGAGGCTGAAATCAAGGAAAATGCACTGCTCTCTGCAAAGCAAAACTCGGCGGTGCACACAACACCATGGTCAGAGACGAGGAGCGATGGGCTTCACCCCTTTTTCCAGTGCTGCACTGAAGGCAGGGCTCTCTGGCTTTGCTTTTTTGACCTGTGCTGATGACAACCCAGTTGCTGAGCATCCTCACTGGCCGCTCGCTGCTCCCGGGGGCATCCGGGCACTGCCCTGACTCGCTGGGCTGCAAGCTGCTCCCGCACACACTGCAAGCTGCGGGCGTCGAGCCGCTCCCGGCCCCACATACTCACCTGGAGAAAGAAGCCCCAGCAGAAAGCGCTGACGAATACGGCTGTCTAAATCCACATGACGGGAGCGGATAGACAGACTGGCTCTGCCTGGGATCGGGAAGAAAGAGTCTATCAAGTATCCACAGCTGCGTGGCTGTTTCCTAAAGATCCCCTTTGCTAGCGGGGCTCGGAGCAGTGGGGTCCCGGTGGGGGCTCGGTGCCCTCGCTCTGCGCTGCTCCGGGCACTGTGGGGTTTGGGGTTTGCTTAGGGAGCTCCCTGTCGAGGTTGGATCCACACCTGACTCCCCTCCACCCCCCTCTTTCAGAAACTAGCTTGTATCCTGTTGCAGTGCTGAACACGGAGGTGGGCAGAACAAATACTGCTATCGCACAGAATAAACTGCTTAAAAAATAAGAAAGCACCGTTCGGCCAAAAAGCCGAAGGCTGCTCAGCACCTCTCTGCCTTGGCCCCAAGGGGATGCAGCTCCTCCACCCCGCACTGCCCCCAGAAGTTTGCTTCTGTTTGCAAACAAGCCCAAAGCCGGGTCCTGTGCTTCTTTTTAAAGTTGTTTCGTAGTGGGAATCGGGCACGCACCAGACCTGGAGCTGGGAATTGTTTTGAAGATAGTCAAATAAACCTGAAGGAAGTTCCTGGTTGCTCTCAGCAGGGGAAAGCCCCCATGTTTTCATATGGAGATAGCTCCAACACACCTCGGTGTGCTCTGTCGGGCTGCCAGGAGATGCTCCCAGCCCAAAACCACACGTGGAAACCCAGACACCTGGGGAGGGCGAGACGGGATGGCTGAACCCCAAAGCGCTGAACCCCGAAGTGCAGCCACACCGGTGTTGCTCTGCTGTGGCATGCAGCACTGCCCTACAAATGGCACCAGCTCCTTCCAGCCCAAAGAACCCAGAGCTTCCTGGTGTCATGGGGTGGGTTGTAATCATGGCCCTGATGCACTATAGAGGGGCTTCACAGGGTTTCTGCCCTGAAGAGCTGCAGCCACAGCACAGGATGCCCTGGTGGTGGGAGCAGTGCTTGGGAAATGGAGTGGGATGTATGGGATGTAGTAGCTTGCCCGCATCCCACTGTCCTCAGGAGACTGTCACCAGGCTCTTGTCCCCACTGGGGGTGAAGGGTAGGACAGAAGCCCCTGGCTGTGTGTGCTTCCCTCCTGTCCACATCTCAGCCCTGGCTCTGAGTGCTCTGGGGCTCCTCCCTGAATTTTGGGCAGGCAAGAGTAAGGGGAAAAGCTCTTCTAGACAGCACACTTTGGGATGCACTGCTGCTTCACCAGGCTGGCTGCCTTTTGCTGCTCCCTGTCCCTATCAGCTAACACCAGCACACCTGCTGCAGGCGCCAGGCACAGCGTGTGCTGCCAGCAAGCAGCTCCTGCTGCAGCTGCCATGTCCTCAGCACCCAGCTCTGCACAGAGACTTTGCTCCTGCCTCACTCCAGCCACATGCATGCTTTGTACAGCACACTCACAGCAGTGCCTGTTCCTCCTGAGGATGAATCACATCGTACGAGGCGTTAAGTCATCACCCAAGAGGAGCACATTTAGCACAGAAAGCAAAATGCCATCTCTTTGAAGCCGAACTCTGTATCAGAAGCCTCAGCCTCTGTTTCCTTGTGGTTAAATAACTGGAATATGAAATTCATAAACTAACCAAAAAGAAAAAAAAAAAAAAGATTTCACTTTGTGTTTTCACATTTGGCAACATGCTTTCACACCTGGACGTCTCCAGAACCATAGGATCATTCAAGTTGGAAAAGATCTCTCAGATCCCCAAGTCCAACCCCACCCCACCATACCACTGACCACCACTGGCTGTCCCCAAGTGCCACAGTTCTGGAACACCTCCACTCCCCAGGCAGCCTGTGCCAGTGTCTGACCACTCTTTTGAAGAAGAAACTGTTCCTAACATCCAACCTGACGTCTCCATGGCACCCTCCATCACCAGCTGCACGGAGGCCGCCCGCTTTCTGCCCACCTCCTCATGCAGGCAGAGGCAGCACCATCCCAGTTGCACACAGAGCCACAGCACAACCTCACAGCTGTCCTGCAGCACCGCAGCCCCCCATCCCACATGGAGTGAAGCCCCCTCCCCATTGCTCAGCACGTGAAAGGGGTACAGGGGGGCTCTCAGAGCTGACCCCGCGCATCCCTGCACTCACCATCCCATGGAGGGCGTGATCTGGCTGACCCCAGCCGGGGGGAGCGGGTAAAAGCCGGGAATGTCGGAGGTCTGGGAAGGCCGATGCACTGCTGGGAGAAGGGAGAAGGAGGTGAGATGGAGACAGCACTGAAATGAGCCCTCCCAGCCCCATCTGCTCCTCTGCGGGCACTGCTGGGCAGTGGGGAATGCACATGGAAATGCAATGCTGTTCCTACAGCCCCCGGCCAATCAGTCAGCCCCAGGAGCCCAAAAGCAACCAGCGGGGATGCTCCATTGAGGCCCTTCCACTGGGGGATGCTCCAGCAGCATCAGTGCTAGCTCTGATATCTAGCGGGGATACTTCACAGTTTAATTTTTCTGCAGTCTTGCTGCTCTCTGCCCTGCTCTGGGGCCAACCCCATGTCTCATCTTTCCAGCCTGGAGCAGCTGAAACCAACCCTGTGCTGGGGCTGCCCAGCAGCTGCTTGGGCACCACCCTGTATTCACTGCATGGGTGAAGAGCTGCAGCAAAGCACAGACCCAGAGATCTGGGATATTCACAGAATTGATGATAAATAAGTATTTAGGAATTACATCACTGGGTTCCAAATATCTCAATAGGTGCTAACTGAACTTGATATATAACTGAGCCAAAGGGAAAATGTGACTTAGTGTGAGAATTGACCCATAGCTGCACTTGGTTAGGACACAGCCCAGAGAGGAACAAAGCCCAAACCTCCGGTCCTCTCCCACCTGTGGGATCTCTGCCTCTGCTAACCTGGAAATCTGCAGGCTTCCTTTCCAGGTGCTGAAATCTGCTATTTGCTGAGCAAATTGCCAATAGATCTGTTAACTCCTTGTGCTTTCCTGCCGTATTTATGACACTCAGGTGTTGGACTCAGCAGCACTGTGGGCTCTGATGAGCCCCCCATCCCTCCTAGAATACACAGACCCAGCGCTGTCAACGCCCTCACTGCCACCTGAACCCCAGACCAGCTCTCTGCAAACATCTGAATGATTCAAGCAGACCTGCAGGGATTCTGTTCTGGCAGGAGGCTGAGGAAGGTTTGATTTCACTCTCGGCCTGCAGCCCAGAAGAAGAGGTGGTGAGGGGCGAGCTCCCCAGTGCACAGCTCAGGTCTGCCCTATCCGTGCTGTACTTTCCTCTGCAGCCCCGCTGGGGGTTGGCGCGTGCCGGACACGCACACTCAGGTCCACCCAGCGCTCAGACACCGATCATATTTAGTCAAAATATTTCCTGTTTCAAGCATTTATTTTCTCAAAATGACAACCTGACAGCAGTTTGGGTATGAGTCAAAGGAAAGACAACTTTCCATTTTCTGGTTGACTCTCACACATCGCCCTGTGGGCTCCGCTCCGGCTTTCGGCTCGTGCGGCCGCTGTGGCCGTCCTGCTGCAGTGTCAGCCCCAGATGGAGCTCCATGAGCCCTACCCTGAGCAGTGCCCGGTGCTCTGAACCCACTGATGAGCAATTTGGGTTACCTTGCTTCTGGCTGATGTCAGCGGGCAGATGGGGTGAGTGGGAACCGTGGCTGAAGTGGTCGTTGCTGTAGGGGATGAGTGGCGTGAGCGGGTGCACTCCATGGGACGGCTGCACGACAGGAACTTTGTTGGACTGCAAAGAGAAGGAGGGGGTGAGGCTCAGGGCTGTGCTGCTGGAAAGAGGGCTGCAGCAACCCCAGGGCAGCCACTGCCCTTCTTTACTCAAACAGACACATCCTGCAAGAGAAGCCCCGAATTAAGCGGCAGCAACAGCTGATGGTGACTGCAGATCAGCCCAAATAACACGAAGCCATCAAGATCAAGAATTGTCACTTCTTTCTAATCCTTCTCCAGTATCATTTATCCCTGGACGAATGCTAACAGCGTGTCACCTAATGCACTGCTCCAGTTTTCTGCCCTCTCCCCCTCTCCCCCCCCACACAGTCCCATGTGTTGCTTTGGTCTGAAGCTGGACTTTCACATCCTGCACATTCACTCTGAAAACTGTGCTCAGGCCTTTGCAGCTGCTCCTGCTAGCAGGACAGGGCCAAGGGGGCCAGCAGCCCCTGCATGCTGCACGATGTGGTACCACTGTGTGACACAGCAGTGACCCAGCCCGAAGGGCTGCATAGCTGTGAGCACTGTGCACACACATGCACACACACCTGTGCACACACATGCACTTATCAGTGCACACATCCACACATGTACCCATGCACAAATCCATGCCCACACCTATGCACACAACTGTATGCAAATCCTGCACAAATCCTGTGCACACACTCACACACTAACCTATCTATGCACACACCCATGGGCACACCTATCCACACACACATCCAGGCACAAATCCATGCACACACCCATGCACACCCATGCACACCCATGCACACCCCTATCCATGCACACACGTGTGCACACAGCTGTACGCACACCCCTGCACACAGCCATGCACACATGTGCACACAGCTGTCTCACTTGCAGCACCCCACACTGCTCCCTGCATGCCCCATTTTGCCCAGGAGTGCCTTTAAACCCAGACTGTCTTCACCCTGGTAGCACAACTATACCATTTGTCCCAGATAACTCCAGAAGGAGAACCAGGAATGGCAGCACTGCACTGGGGGGAGATGAGAGGAGGCTGGCAGCCGTTCAGCTCAGTTCTTGTCCCATTGGGGCACCTCCAGAGCACCACTCCTGCTTTCTGACAGCTCATCTCAGACCTCTGGGTTGATTCACCGCTGCCTTTCACTAGGGTCATGATTTTGCTCACACAGAGCAGTGTGCAGCCCTGCTGGCACCAGGAGGAACCCTGCAATGGGAAGGACGGGGCGGGTTGGGGATGCCATCCTCCACCTGGCTTTGCTCGTGCAAATAAAAATCAAGAGCTGCAGGTTTGGAGGTATTTAAGAGTGCATGAGAACCCCAACTCCTGATGTGAACCAGGTGCATGTTGCCTGCATGTGCTGGGATACAGCAGTGACTGTGCCCCTCCCAGCACAAGCCACCTGGTCCTGCAGTGCCACCAGGTCACTGTGGTACCACCAGGTACCCAAGGTACCAGCAAGTCCCTGAGGTGCCCAGGCTCCTCACATTACCCAGCACTGTGCAGGCATGGAGCTGCTGCCCATCGCCCTGGTGGGACTCACTGAATGCAAAGAGGAAGGGCCGTGAGGAGGCAGCTCCCACTTTGCAGCAGAAAAGTGGCTTCAGTATCTGATGAGCAAGGAGACAACGCAGCCGTGCTAATTGTTAAGAGGGACTAATTGCTGGCAAGGCAAAATGAGGAGACCTCACTGCTTACATGCAGATATCTGATTGTGATGGAGGCTCGAGGTGAGTGGAAGAACTCGCTTCTGGCTGAGCAGAACTATTCAGAATTCATCTTTTTTTTTAATAAAATGAAGCTTTTTCATTAGACAAATGGTGATTTGTTGTAACCAGAAGTTTTCTGGAAAGCACCTCATGGCAGCAGGTGTTTTGACTCATTGTTTAAGATGGAGATGTTTCACCACAGCACACAGGAATGAACACTTTGCTGCCTTGCAAGAATTTAAAGTTTGGAGCTAATGCCAGAAAAATGCAGCAGAGATCAAATAGGAAACGGTTTCAGACTAGGAAAGGGAAGATTTATATTGGATATAAGGAATATGTTTGTTACATAAGGGCAGTGAGGCACAGGCTGCCCGGAGAGGCAGTGGTCCCCATCCCTGCTGACAGCCCAGGTCAGACTGGGGGGCTCATTGCTGTGGGTGCTCATTGCTCATAGTGGGCAGAGAGACCAGGTGGCTTTTGCAGGGCTCTTCCAACCCAAACCAAGCCATGATTCTATGGTTATATGATTAAAACCCAGAATTAGTGGGAAATGGCCAATACTGAGAATTTTCATGGGCTATAATACAAAGAATATTGGTTTTAGCTGTGAAAATATTAGAAAAAATACACAGATGGTTTTCTGCTTGGGTTAGTTTAGGAGAAGAAAAGAAGAAGTGAATTTTTGGTGAAGCTGGGTAAAGCACACCTTGCTACCGCTGTAAGCATCCCAGCATCTGCTGCCTCAGGGCTGGCACTGGGCAAGATTTTGGGTTGATTTTTGGATAGAAGACAAATCAGAACTAAACCAAAGCAGCACAACCCGGTGATCTCCCACCATGTGGTGCCAAAGGAATGAAGAGCTCTGGATGGACTTTGGTGGTCGCCCACTGAGCAGCCAGGTCTCAGTCTGGCACTGCACTGCACAGAGGTGTCCCCAGTGCTCCCTTCCCATCGTTTGTTAAAATAGAAAGAGAGAAAAGAGCAGACAGCGCTCGGAGTGAGTGTGTTAAAGAGGAGCAGATCACACAGACCAAACACAGGAGCTCATCTCACAAGGCCGATCTTGATCGGCGCTGCTGCACAAAGGCACAAAGCATCCTTCCTAGGAACGACCCCTCCCATTGGGAATATAGGGAACCTCACAGGCATGGGGGACCCTTACACAAAGGGGACCTGAAACACAAGGGAGACACCGTGGACTCCATGTGCAGTGGGGAAGATGTGCTCTTAATAGACCCAGTGCATGGAGAGGACGCTGTGAACACTGGGGGACAACACTGATGCAGGGGCTGCAAAAGCACAAGGTGCTCTATGCACACAGGTACACAGTGGACCCTGTTCATATTGGGGACCACACACACTTTGGGAGCTGCAGGAGGGGGCTGACCCCCCACGGTGCCCCTGCTCACCCGGCTGGCAGCACCCAGGGGTGCACAGGACCCGACCCGGCAGCGCAGCACCCGGAGTGCTGTGGTTTGCAGCACCGGGGGGGAGCGGAGCCACAGCGGGGCCAGATCACTCACAGCACTTTCAAACAGTCCCACACTGCTGGCCCCAAAAAGAGTGAAATGACAAAGCTGTGCAGTGTGGGGCCTGGCCAGGGCCTGGTGCTTGGGGTGCACCGGGGTCTGGGCATCCCCGGCTATGTGCATCAGCACCAAGAAACCGCTCCCAGCAAAGCAATGGGGGGAGCAGCGCTGAGGGCTGCAGCCGGGAGCAGCCCTGTGTGTTGGCTTCAACGTCACTTCTCAGAGAGAGAGATGAGTCTACGCCTTGGCTATGCAAAACAAAACCTACGGAGTTCGCTGCTGCTGATTCAATGAGGAATTAATTCCTTTTCTCTGCAGAATTAGTCACTGTGCCGCAGAGCCAGAGGCAGCAGGTCAGGCTGCAGCGAGCCAGCACTGCTCTGCCTTCTGCCCCGTATCCAAACATCTGCTCAAATCAGCAAACGGGGCTGGGAGCATCCTGCAGGGTGGGATCATTGATGTGGGGCTCAGGGCTGTGTTTCGGGGCTTTCAGGTATGGGACCTGGAGAGCTCTGCACAGCTTCAGGGCACCTCTGCATCCTGAGCAAACCTCCCAGTTTGGGGCAATGTGAATAAACCTAACCCAGCCTCCATCGGGGGGCAGACTTTGCAATGAGACCCTGTTCTGCAAGCGCTGGGGCCAGCAGCATCTGCTCATTTCTCCTCACAGCGCTGCTTTTTTTTCTCTTTTCTCACTTTTGCTGCAGTCACCACTGCCACGACAGAAAGGAAGAAGGGAAAGTTAAAGACACCCACGTCAGCATTGCCCTCACCCCGGCAGCTTTGGTGTCAGCAGGGCCATGTCGCCCCATGCGGGTTGGCGCCCGTGGGGACTGCCCCAATCCTGTCCCCATCTCATGGCACACACAGCATCACAGAGTCACAGAACCACAGGGGCAGGAAGGGACATCTGCACATCCCCTCAGTCCAACCCTCACCTCAGAGTCTCTGGACTCTCTCCAGCAGTTCCCCACCTGCCTGCAGCTGGGGAGCCCAGTGCTCCAGATGTGCCAACCTGTGCAGACCACCCCCCTCCCTTGCTGGCCATGCTCTATGCCATGCATCCCAGGGCACCATTGGCCTTCTTGGCCACAAGGGCACACTGTTCACTCATGGTCAATTGTTGGTCAACCACTGGTGAACTGCTGGTCAATCACTGGCTACCAGAACACCCAGGTCCTTCTCCAGCAGCCCCCAGCCTACATTGATGCAGTTATTCCTCATCCTGCATTGCCTATGGAGGGGAGTATCCATACTCCCAGAGAAAGCTGCATGCAAATAGCAACAAGGGAGGACAAATACAGGGAAATGACTTCAATAATTTTAGAAGCCTCGACGAACTGATGGTTGCAGATCTGGGATGTGGCCTGGTGCTCTGTTGGTATGAGAGCCTCATGATCCCTAGAAGAGCTGCAGATGCTCAGCACCGGGTCCCACTGCTGCTGCTGGCTTTCAGCAGCATGGCTTATTGTTTTTAAGTTCAGCTCTGTGGGGAAATGGCTGAGCTTTGCACCGTTTACGGGCACAGGAAGAGCCGTTTCGCTTCTCAAGTATTTATCTTCTAAGAGAAAAATGTAGGTGGTTCTTCATGAAAAAAATGAAGGCATGGAAAAATAAAATTAAAAGTGCTCTTGGGGTGACAGAGGACAAGCGTGGAGGCAATAATGCCCCAAAGCAGAGAAATCCCCCAAAAAATGAACGTGTGGCATCACTGCCTGAGGATGCCATCCCACGTCAGAGAGACACCTCTGCCCAGAGCTGGTCCCCACCCCTGCGGGCTGCCCTGCTC